CTGAAATACTTGAACTCATACTTCCAAGACTATCCCTTTAGAGTTCTGTTTTCCAAACTGTATTCTGTAGCATATATTTTCCTTGGAAAAATTCTGTGGTGCAATAAGTTTGAATATACATATTAGAATATTCCAGTGGTCTGAGAAATTCTGCAACTAACAATGCATCTTCAATTTCCTCTCACTCATTGTTTTACAAATATATTGAACCATGGGATGCATTGTTTTCTCAACACTGGTAGAGAAATACGTTCTTTTGCACAAAGCTATCGTCTCTGTTAAATGGCAAATAGTTCTTGAGAGGATGGCTCTTCAGCCAGAGATTGGTAGCACTGCTTTTGGTTATGTCGTCTTTAGTACTATACCATACAATAGTGTAAATAAAATTCTAATTCTTTCCTAATGGCCACATTTTGACTGAGAGGGAGATAAGCTTGTAATAGGAATAGAAACTGAGGGGCTATAGAGTAGGGAAAGTAGCATTGATAGGCTGAGTAGGGCACACACAATTTGTCTGTTTCTTTCATTCCCTTGTTATTGATTCCAGCTATTCATGTGGGATGGTTGTGGGATGTGCTAGAGACAATGAGAGGAAAATTAGGAGATGGTTATCTAACAGGGAAAGTAAAGTGTGTGAATGAAATGGAACTAGTAAAATGCATGGGGAATTCTAAATATAAGAATATTTTGACTATGTATGTTTATGCAATTGGTGTTCACATAGCATATGTGTATCTCAATTGATCAAATAATTTTCCAGGTATTTTTACATTAGACCATGTAAACTTGCCACTGTGTCAATAATCATGTAAGCTATGTGACATCTCATTGTTTAAATATTAGCATTTCATTCATCAAAACATACCAAAATTGAGAGCAATTTGACCACAGTGACCATAAACAGATTGTTTCCATGTTAGAAATGTTTGTCAAAGAAGCATGTTTGAAGCAAACATACGGACTGTTAAGAGTCATCCTAGTAAATTATTGTTGAAGTTTTTTTCTACCTAAAACAACAGTAATGAATATAAATGCAAGTAATTTAGAGCGAAAATGAATTTTATGTATCATAAGTTGACTAACTTAACAGGCCATGTAGAAAAGGACATTAGTATGACAATGGTTTTTATTGCTCAAATAGATTAGATGCTATTTAAAGGAAGGGGCTCTGGCATCAGTTTAGTAGAAATAAGCACATTAATAGATACTGGCTGATTAACTAGTACTTTAGAGCGAAAATGAATTTTATGTATCATAAGTTGACTAACTTAACAGGCCATGTAAAAAAGGACATTAGTATGACAATGGTTTTTATTGCTCAAATAGATTAGATGCTATTTAAAGGAAGCGGCTCTGGCATCAGTTTAGTAGAAATAAGCACATTAATAGATACTGGCTGATTAACTAGTACAAAGAATGACATTAGAGTAGATAATTAAGTTTATGAAGATGGATAAAGTCGTAGCCATGTATGAATGCCCTACATTGCAGGCACTCTGAATGCCACATTGCTGAATATCCTCAGAGTTCTTATGTCTGGGATTACCACCATAGTTTTGGCAATCTTTTTCAAATTGTTTGGTTTGCAGAAGGGCTTCTTTTGATCATTAAAAAATCTTAAAAATTTATGGAGCCATTTACATAAAGATAATTTTAAGGCATTTCCCAGTATTAAATTAACTTTTAATCTGATAACAAGTTAGTCTAGTTATTTTTACTAAAATTTCTATAACTTTTAAATATAACTTAGACTATTTAGCAATTTAAATATCTTCTGGGGTAAATAGAAAGAAGTATGATTGGGTCTAAAAGCAAGTGAAATTTAACATCCTGTATACGAATATTAATACATTTTCTTTTCTTTTTCTAAAACATGAACAAAATGGAAAATATGTAATAAAGACAAAAAAAGAAATAGAAAAAGCCCACGGTATCTGTACTTCTAGTTTTTATTTTTCTGTGCTTACTTTTAATAGCTTCACTTGTTCAGCTTTGTAGCTTTAATATACAGTTACTTACCACTTAATGACAGAGATACGTCCTGAGAAATGTGTGGTTAGGCGATTTCGTTGTTGTGCAAACATCACAGAGTGTGCTTATACAAACCTAGATGGTATAGCCTTCTACACACCTAGGCTATATAGTAAAGACTTTGGCTCCTAGGCTACAAACCTGTACATCATATTACTGTACTGAATATTGTAGGCAATTGTAACAAAATGTTATTTGTGTATCTAAACATATCTAAACATAGAAAAGGTAATGCAATGTGCCAGGACATTACAGCAGCTATGATGTCACTACATGATAGGAATTTTTCAGCTCCGTTATAATCTTATGGGAACACCATTGTATATGTAGTTCGTTGTTTACCAAAATGTCCTTACGTGGCACACGATTGTGTTTAATATTTGTATATGGACTTTAAAGTTACATTTGTATGGCTATTTGGTGAAGTATCATTCATAAATATTTCAATTATATTGCTCTCTCCTCATATAAATTTATTTCACAGTGTTTAAAAACCAAAGGAAATGAAAAAGGAAAATCCACAATGATTTATTGGATAAAAGAATAGACCATCCACCATATAAGACTATTGTTAACTAATCTAAGAAAGACTGAATAGTTTTTAATAACAGAAATTTTTTATAGCACTAGATTTGAAGTCAAATAAGCACAGGGTCAAGTCCTGGATCTGTCAGTAACTAATAAAAACTTCAGTAACTCAAAAACCCCGACTGATAATAACTCAGTAACTCAAAAAACCTAACCTTTTTGCAAGCCGTGCAACCTCTCTGATACCTAGAAGGCATTATATTTGCTGATGATCATGTTAATTTTCATGAAAATATATGGTTGACAAAAGTAATTCAATTAATATATCTTATCTTAAAAGAAAAACACTACAGAAATTAAAATAGCTTTCACTAGGTATTTGGAATTGTGGATATTAGTCTGGAAAGAGTGGACTAAAGCCTACATAATCCTATGCAGGGGTAATTATCCTTCATTCACTTATTCTTCAAACATTTATTGTTCATCTCCTGTGCTGGTTTCAGAGGATGTCCCAAAAGGTAGCTCTAGCCCTCATGGACCATATCTAAGTGAAATAGAGATGGGATAAGCTGCATAGCTCTATTTCATATTATTTTCTCTTTAACTCAACATCAGATCACTCAAAAACCCTAAGCTTGCCAATGTCTGAATAATTCAGTCATGAGAACAGGTTAGCAGGGGCAAGCAACAGCTAAGAGTGTTTTCTCTAACTACTGGGTGACTACTGATGCATAACTGCTGTTCCAGAAAGTCACCACTCATTTCAGAAAGCAGTCATGGGTACAGTCCCCTGAGATGGCACTTTGCAAATTGCAGTCATTCTCAAAAGACCTTCCCCAACTTTTGGCTATTCTACCTTTTCTCTTGTTTAAGAAGAAAATTTTCTCAGACTAACTATTTTTTAGCTTAAATATAATATATTTTAAAGGAGCATTCGTATCATTACCATAAATGAGAAACTGTTACCACAGGCCATAAGTAGAAAGTGACCATACAAATATACTGATTGAAAATGAAATGGTGTTGAAAAAATTTTAGCTAAGGAACAGACTCTGCATATAGCTCACTCTCTCTTTGATAGTGTTGGAGTTCATGAAGTCACTAGAGCTCTGAACTGACACATTGTCCTTGTAGTAATCAGGATTGGAGAAGTGTTCTAAGAGGACTTTCTCTCTCTGTGACTCCCTGTCACTGTGCCTCCAAAAGTTTCCCTCCCACCAGTGGTACATGCTGTTCTTCAAACACAGTTCCCTTTCCAGCAGGTTGAAATGAACTTTTACTTAGTACTAACAGGTGTCAGGCACTATGATACATACTCTACATACTTTCTCCCTTAACTCTCACGACAACTGATTTCATAGGTGGTGTTATCCATGTATTACAAGTGTGGGATACAGGCACAGAGAGGTTATTTGCTTCAGGCTGTATAGTTAGTCAATAATAGAGCTGGATTTTGAATCCAGGACAGCCTGACTGCACAGGCTAGCCTCTTAACCACTATATGTCTCTCTGAAGTAAACTTATTTCATTCTAATGTAAGTATCGGTCTACACCCATATCAGAAGGGTATTCCTCCATGTGGACATTTCTCTTTTTGTGATAAAGTAGTAGTCGTGTTAGTAGAAACATATGCAACATAAAAGATGATATTATTACCCATTAAAGATCAACATATAAACTTTCTTTATGAGGAATAGAAGAGACAAGCACAATTTCCAACTGATAATAGTAAAAAATTTAGAAAGTTCTGCAACTTTCAAGGTCATCGGAGATGAACGAAGTAACAGTAAGTAAAATATCTATAAAGTAATGCTAGAAAAACAGTGTCTTTAATGAAGGCCATTAAGGTTTCTAAAATCATCAAAGTTGTAATACAGATGTGATTAAAATATATTGTAAAATGCCAGCAATAAAGAGTACTTTAAGAATGCAGTACTAATAATTTGCATCTTCCCAATGCTTTGCATTCTCAAAGGAATGATCAAACTCTCACTAATTGGCTCTTAGAAAATTATTCTAATACATCATTTTCATTGACTCAATGAGAAATCTAAACAGAGATCATTTAAGCTATTTCATCAGGGTTATCCTACAAACACTGTGGGAAGAGAAGCAGAAAGTATATTACACATATATTGTTTTACTTCAGAAAGCTTTAGGAAAAGGAGAGAAGGAAGTAGAGCTGAAAGCCACGTTCAGATGTTGTGGTTGACAGAATAATGGTCCCTCAAAGATGTCTGTTCCCTAAACCCGGAACCTGTGAATATGTCAAGTTAAATGGCAGAGGGGAATTAAGGTTGTAGATGGAATTAGGATTGCTAATCTGCTGACTTCGAGATGGAGAGATCATTATGGATTGTCCAGGTGGGCCCAATATAATTACAAGGTTTCTTCTAAGTGGGAGAGAGAAGCAGAAGAGAACAAACCAGAGAAATGGTAGCATGAAGAGGACTTGGCCCAAAGTGACTGGCTCGAAGACAGAGGAATGGGGCCGTGAGCCAAGAACTGTGGATGACCTCTGGAAGCTGGAGAATGCAAGTAAATGGATTCTTCCCTAAAGCCTCCAGAAGGAACCAGCCCTGCCAATATCATGATTCTAGCCCAGAGAGACTCATTTAAAACTTCTAACTTTCGGAACTGTAAGAATAAATTTGTGTTGCTTTAAAGCCATTAAGTTTATGGTAGTTTTTTACAGCAGCAATAGGAAACCAATACAGATTTCTGAACACACGTGGCCTCAGCAAAGGCAAAGAGTAGAATGAACAGCACAGATAGGGTCCTAGCCATCAGGTGTTCAGACACCATCAGTCTAGCTAAAATATTGGCTGTAACTGTGAAGAACTAAGCTTATATAAAATACGAAGAACATACCCATGTTACCCTTAGGGTAGTCATCTTCAGCAAGATATATACTTGTTCATTGCTGAAATATCTCTCTGGAATTCACAGTTGTTTTAAGGCCAAACAAAAAAGAATGTCCCATTATTGTTTCTTCACAATCAGTGGTTTTACTAGTTTGATATTATGTGTCAATATGCTACTGGCTACTGCTGCTATTGGACTTCTTACTAATACAAATATGTGAACTTCAGAAAGGTATTTTATTTTCTCACTGCCTCATTTATAACGAGCGCAGAATGGAATGAGAAGAACACAGGGTTGTCATGAGGTTATAATAAATTAATGCTCACCTAACACTAGAATAGTCATTGACACATATTAGGCATTTACTACAATTTGGTAGCCTTTATTATACTTACTATAATCATTATCATCATCACTGCTGTGCATGCCAATAACTGCTGGACGCAGGCCCTAAACCAGGCATACAGGCTTCATATTTTATCTCTATGAATTAGGGATCAGTATCTTCATTTTTGTTCAGGTAAAGAAACTGAAGTTCAGAGTGTAGGAAGTCACTTAACCAAGGCTGAAGAGCTTTTAAATGACAAGGCCAGGACTGTTCCTGAAACGTTTTGCTAAACTTCTACTAGTCTTAGTGCTAGATTCTGTCTGTTTCTATTAAATGAAGCCCTGTTCTATCCCAACCCCTCAATGACAAAGGCGTGTTATGGAACAACTGATTTAGGTGTACCAGTATCTTTCCATTCCTTTTAAAAGGTCAGCAATGTTTTTTATGATCCCATTTTGTTGTTAGGGAACAACTGATTTAGATGTACCAGTATCTTTCCATTCCTTTTAAAAGGTCAGCAATGTTTTTTATGATCCCATTTTGTTTTTTTGTTTGTTTATTTTGGTGGCTGGCCAGTTCAGGTATCCAACCCTGACCTTGATGTTTTTATCACCGCTCTCTAACCAACTGAGCTAACTGGCCAGTCCCCCACTTTGTTTTAATATCTAAGGACATGAACCATTTTTAACTCTGGTAGAGAATTCTTTTGAAACCATTTTCTCCTAATGATAAAATTTCAGTTGGAGTAAGTCTGGCTTGCCATACATAGAACCATATGGCAAAATTTTAAAAGTTATTTTCTTATAAAAGTAATATATGTATGCTATGTAGAACATTTGAAGAATAGACAGTAATATAACAATATCAGTCCTCCACTCAGAAATGTGTTGATAATATTTGTATTGAATTGTATGAGTTTGTGTGCATATATGCAAAAGAGCTCATGTTGCGCTTATGGTTTTTTAATTTTCAGTGTAGTTTACATATTAATTCATGATACATTTTCATTTCTTTTAATGTCAAACCATGAAAAAACAGGGACACTTAAACAGGGACATTTTGAAAAATTTAGATCTTTTCAATTTGTAAATTAATTCTGCATTTTGTGATACTTAAGGATTTATTGACACTTTACTTCCAAGTCAATACTTTTACAATGCTTTTACATTAGGATAAAAAAGATTAGAAGATTTCTCAACCACAGGTCTTAAAGAAATATTAAACTACCTTGTGTTAAAGTAATTTATACAAATTCACTTCCTTTTTATAATATGTAAGTCCCTTATGCTTTATAATCTTTTTATCTCAAAGTCTGAACAGTTGTTATTTATAATAATCACTTAATGATTATTAATAAACATATAAAGGCATAAATTAGGGAATTAATATTTGTATTAATATTGATTAATATTTTTATCAATATTATACTTATGGTTGATTATGGAAAATTATCCTGTAGAATTTCAAAATAACTATTTGGAAGCATGAAGGATTTCCAAAGAATGAACTGGATTATTCATTTATATATATTTATTTGAAATTGCTGATTTTCAACTTTGTTTACAATTGTAAACTAATTAACATAAAGGAATATCCTCAAGTTCAGGCAGTAAATTTTTAAATGCTAATAGTATTATATTTTTAAAAACTCGGATAAAAATTTATTTCTATGGAAAAATTTAATATTTGGAGGACTATTTCTCTATATTGTATTTAAATGTAAATAATGGAGCAATCAGATTCAATAAATGGATTACTAAAGTTAAGAATAAATTTAAAACATTTATTTTCAAATATTCTTTAAATAGCTATGTCTTTAAAACTTTGATGTGGTATAGAGCTTCAGTTTTTGATGGACAGTATCCTATACATTTTGTTTGGATAAAAGAAAATATAAACAATTGTAATGTTTCCTCTGGTTCTTCATATTCTAAAATCATATTTCTTTGTCTGGAAGTTAACGTTTTATAAAAATTATGCATAGATCTTATTATATTATACACTTCCAAATGTCAAACATTAATCAAAACAGCCCCATTAGGAATTTCCAATGCTTCATTATTTCAGTTCAGAAAAGATTTTAGTATTCAATCTTGTACAAAATATAAGCCATGGGTAAAATAATTGAACATTAATTTTTTTTAACTTTGGCTTTTGGAACTAGGTTAGAGCTTGAGTTCTAGAATGTTAATTTTCCTAATATTACACCTGGAGCCTGGGAATTAATAATAGTAAAAAAATGAAATCTTTGTAAAAGTTAGTGTGAAATGGAATACTCTTAAAAATACTTTTACTTAATTACATATTATAATATAAAATCCCTTTAAAAATCATGACCTCTATGGCTTTTTATAGTTTGGGATAAACATCACAAATACAGTATTTACTTCAGAATTGCAATCTAAATTTGAGGTACATAATTTCAAATATTCTGTTGATTGTAATTTGACTCTCATCTGACAAACAAAATCACTTTGATAAATTAAGATAGATTTTAAACGTTAATGATTTTAATGAATTGAATCAATCACATGCATTCAGTTCCTTAGTAAATAACATTATAAGTTATTTGACTCTTTTCTCATAGGAAAGACTAAAATCTTCCTTTTCTTTTTTTACTTCAGCAGAACTTGAGAGATAAGAATTGTGGCTGTAATCATCAGCTATGGTACTAGAAATATTATCAGTATAAAAGAGACACTACAGTGAATCTCAAACTTGAGTAGACATAAGAATTACCCAGTGCTTGGTTATTTGATGATTCTTTGCTGAGCACCAGTTCTGGGAAATTCTGATTCTGTCAAGCTCCCAAATGTGGTTCTGATGCAAGTTGGCCCTTGACCACATTATGAGAAGACAGTGGTGTTAATATGGAAGAGATGTAGTTGTTATCAAGAGCTGTAATAGAGTTGAGGTTGTTCTAGAACTATTTAGTGTTTTGGTCACTTGCTGTTTTGTAAACTCTACTCAGAAGTCATGTTTGCCATGAGCATAGTCCCCAGGAGGCCCTTGGGGAGCTTCCGTGGGTGGTAGGAGACACACTTTGCTGAGTCTGCTATTTCCTCTGTGGTCAAGAATGGCTGCAGAATATGCAGACATCAGGAAGGAAGAGGGGGCTACTCATTTGCTAGTTTTGCTTGCATGAAATGAGTAGAAATTCATCCTATTCTTTGTTTCAGTATATACATGTTTTCTAATATATAGTTGTTTATAAGATATTTTACAATCCCCACAGGTGGATGTGAATTTTGAGATGAAATTCCTGCAGAGGATTTTGCTAAATGTATATTTTTAATCAGTTAAGTTTTCATAAGATGATATCATATGTAATTCTGCACATAGCAAAACTCTTGAAGGACCTTAATGTCAAAGTGGCAATCAGTTGTTTGACAATGTAAGTAAATTGTGTGATCCCTTTGGAGTTAGAGGACACAGAGTGTATTTTTCATGTCCTTGATTTCTATACTTTAGGAATAGAGGCTAAAGAGCAATTATTTGCACAGTTAGATCTGCCTAAAGTCCCATGAAGGGAATTCAGGAAGCAAAAGCAAACTATTTGATCACTGCTCTCAAGTCATGATTAGCCATACTCTCTGTTTCCCACCACTGCCACCATCTTGTGCTTTGGAAAGAATTCAAATTGGGGAGTGAGGGAGAACAAAGAAGCGAGGGAATGCCAACACAGTTTCTCTTGCTCAGAACTAGGACAGCAAAATTAGACTTGCTAATGGAACAAAGTTACTCTCTTTTTAATCTGATCAACTGCTCTTATCCATTGGTAATCCCAAGGAAGGAACTGCAGCTTTATTTCACTTTGTCAGTAATATTGCCTGCAGGGATATGGTTTGATACTCGAACCAGAGTTGGCAGTAGATCATGTGAATGTAAGTCAAGCTTTATGGCTTACAATGGGTATAAGCTTGGGCAAGTCTCCCAAACTTCCCAGCTTGTCTTCTCAAGTTAGGATTTTGTTTTTCAGTTAAATTTCATTAAAATACTTTTTTTTAAGAAAAAAACCTGTAATACTATGAATAATATAAAAACACACCATAATATTCATCTGAATGCACTTTGTATATTATTACTATTGTATGTAATTTCAGTACGTTACTTTGAAATGTGGCACATTTACAGTCAAGTGGTAAGCCACTTTTCAGTAATAGAACTCAGGGATGTGTTTTGAGGACAGGGATCAGGATGGAGCAATAAATATTCCTCTTCAATGTTTGAGTTAAGCAATGTTAAGAAATAAAACAAAAGAATGAGGCAGAGGGGGAAATCAAATATTTCCTTTATTACTGGTGAAGTTGATATTGGCTAATATGGCTTATTTCTGTGACAAAGT